TATTTAATGTTAGCGCCATCAAACCTAAAGATATCAAATTAACTTTGAAAAAGTGCTCTACGTCTTCAGCACCGAGACCTGACAGTAACAAGTACAAGTACCTTAAAAAATTAGTATGGTCGCACCATTTTCTTGCTACTGTGTTCAACAAAGTTATTTTGGGTAGAAAGACGCCACCTAGTGCCTGGTCTTTTGCTAAAGTTTGTTTAATATAATAAGAAGGGGAACACGGATGGCCCCCTTAATTTCAGGCCCATCGCACTAACCTCTACAAATGCCAAACATACCATTTTGGACCTGCGACTGGAAAATGTTCCTATTAAGAAATGGGATCATCGATCATACATTACAAAAAGGTTTCTTATCAACGTCCAGTGGTCTTATCGAACAAATGTGTGCCTTCTACACGACCACAGCCTAAAGTTCGTTGTCAGTTGTTAGAAACTAAAATTATAAAAAATAAAAACCGCATCTGGCTGAAGTCTTTGCAGATGACATCACTATTATATCATCGAACCGTGGCAATCATCAACAACTACTTGACGACTTCATTAAGGAAGCTCTCAAAATAGGTCTTATGCCCAGGCCTGATAAAAGTTTTTATTTGGCCATATATGATAACAATAAATGTAAGCTTAACGGATGCGAAATCCAATCAGTAGAAGAGAAACCAACTAAATTAGGCTGTATTATTTTGAATAGGCAGATTAAATCTTCAGCTAATGCAGGATTGAAATTAACTGAAATGATTAAAACGTATTTATTCACGCATTCACTGTTAAAAAAAAGTAGGGGTGAATTTAAACAATAGATAATAATGTATTATGTCCTTCCTAGCCTTAAGTATTTCATAACGGTTCACAATATTCCTAGGACAAATTTTGAAACGGCGTAGTCACGAATTACTAAATCACTTATGAAATAGTTGAAACTCCCTCGGAGCATGTGCACTGCAATCATCCATCACCCATTTTTACTCGGAGTACACTTTCTTCCGGACTTAGAAAAGAACGTTAAAGGTTAAAACCACAAAACAATTACCGTATTAAATGGGTAAATAGTTTCATCTGGTTTCAAATAGCAATACATATGTATAATTCCTTGTGATAAACAAGGAATTTGAAAAATTTGAAAACACTGTCTTTTTTGTTGTTGACCGTTTCGCCTGGCTATCAGATCGCTTGGCGATCGTGATCGCCAAGTTTATCCAAAGTTTATGGCTCCAGGAGTTGAGGTTCTGAAGTACTTGCTCATGACGCTCATGTTAAACAATGTAAACAGCGTATTAAAACAAAATGTTGTGATGATGCTACAGAGAAGAGGCAAGGAAAGCTAGAAATCATATCGGTTCAAAATAAAATAATTGAATTTATTGAATTTGAAAAAGATGAGGAAATACGTCATATCCTTCCAACTTGCCAGTTGTCGTTTATACTTCGTGCCGCCTCAGACACACTTCCAACAGAAATATATCTGAGACGTTGGAAAACCAAACTTCGGACAAGTGTAAACTATGCTCACACAATCACCCCACATGTCATGAATGAGTCTCGAGAGACCCTCTCCCAGGGAAGGTTTACTTGGTGACATGACTGTGTACTTGCCTGAATATTTCAACATCTAAAAGAATGCATCTCAAAAGAGAATGTCCAACTTTATGCTGACCTCGATGGGTTTCAAGCTTCCTCTGACCCTCCTTTCACTATTCTTAGCTATTGTCTTGCTTTGACTAGGGCCCGATGTTGTCCTGATTGATGGCTTCACTATACTATTGGGCGAACTTACAGTTCCACATAATGCAATGCGAAAATTAGAAAATCAAATAAATCTAATTACCCCCAACTCATTCAAGAATTAAGTGAAAACATTTTTGAAGTGTGCTACGTAACACTGGAAATAGGTTCACTTGGTCATTCAATCAGTAACGACATCGGGCCTAGCTTCAATATTTTTTGCGGTAAAAAATTGTTTGAATCTACCCTTGAAGGCATTATGCAAGATGTTTTTCGGACATCAATTCAATGTTCAAAGTACATTTTCCAGTTTGAAACATGGTCTTCGCCATTACTTTCTTATTACTTTCACGGCAGACTTGTGAACTTATGATCGATGCCCTGCAAGTCTGCATAATGCCTCCAGAGAGTACTGTACTGCAATCCGAGGATAAATTCAATAAAACATGTATCTCCTTTTTTAATTAATTTTAATATATTTGTACTTTTTCTGTGCCTTGCTAAGCCCACTAAGCTTGATTTAATTCTTGTCTAAAGTAAGCATGAGCCCGATAACTTTGTTTTATTTATTTATTTTTATATTTTATCAAAATGTGTTTTGTACTGTTTACCTTTTCTCTCTTTATTGAATATCCACTCTAGTCGGCTTGGCCTAGCCAAGCCTTCCGAACGATCCCATCGACTTGGCTATGTCTGTTGCAGCTGGAAAATGTATAAATAACATTGTAAAATTTGCATTTCTGATCAGCACCAAATTCAAGAAGAACCAACATTCATGTAACATTGCCAATATGTAACTATTTGAAGTAAATATACCAGTATGTGTACGTGTGTATCAAAACATAAGTCTAATTTCTTAAAATGTAGGTCTAGTTTCTCAAAACGAAGTTCTAATTTTTCAAAACGTAGCCAACATTTTCCAAAATGCAGTTTGTGCTACAGTCCAATGCCGTAAACAACGCCTAATAGTAGGCTGGTCAAGGCCAATAATATAGTAAAATTCTGTATTCTACTAAAAAAACAATTAAATAAGGTCACTGTAGCATCAATGTGTATCATGGAGTGTATTAACCGGCTTTAAATTACTTAAACTACTGGATAAACCAAGCGTATTTTTAATTTATATTTTTTTGTTTCTTTCAAATTCATTTAGGCGTACAATTTATGTACTGTACTATCGAAAAAAGGTTCATGATATCAAAGAAGCCCTTCTTTTCGAGATGGGCTTCTTTTCAAGGCTAGGCTTTCGCAATCTATTGAGGGGGCTGCAATTCGAAATGTGTGTGTGTTTTTTTTTCCAAGTAAGCCTATTAGGCTTCTTTTTTAAGGTTTTACAGTATTGTAGAATCCTTAAGTTAAATTATAATTCTTTTAAAGTTTTTATGAAATCGTTTAATTTTCGAATTTGGTAGGCCTACAATGTAAACCTGTCAGGAAACCTGTAGTCATATGTCTATACAGCGTATTTTACTATACTATTAGCCTAGGCCTAGCCTAGTGAGACCTCTTACTAGTTTAGACTAGCCTACCCCAAGAGCTTGTTGCTATCCAGGCCCACATTGGGCTACGCTCATGTGATCGCCGGTACCCTGAGCATTAGAAAGGCATTGGGAAGAATTATTCATGGAACTGGACAGAGCGTAAATTCCCCATCGTTAATGGAACGGGCCCCGCCATGCTTGGCTGGATAGGCTTTGATTTTTTATTTTTCGCATGTCGAGTTGTCGCAAAATGTAAATCAAACCAGTCATGCTTGGGTGATCCTCACATCCTCACGCTTTTCACCACCTAAAAGAGGCAACTCTAAATGCAACAAACCACGATGCATGATCTGCAAACTACTCATCACTGACACACATATTAAACTACCCCACTCCTCTCATACCATTCTTCCTCCTACCCTGACTTGCGATTCTTCTAATGTCATATACCTTCTCACATTGTGTAAAATGTAACAAAGGGACCTACATCGGGGAAACCGGTGCTAAATTTAGATTAAGATTAAACAATCACAAAAAAGCATCCGCAAATGTAACACAGACGGCTTTCCTGTAGCCGAACATTTCAACTCTCCTGACCACAACATCAACGACATTCGCTGTGCACTCATTGCTTGCAATTTCAAATCACTCAAAGAACGACGTCAATGTGAACTGAAACTCATAATCAAATATAAAACACACATCTTTGGTCTTAATAAAGACCTGGGTATCATTAGTGACTACACCTTCCCCCATGCTGATTCTGTTAATTAATTATGTTTCATCTTAGTATCCGACTCTATACCTTTATATACTTATATTTATTCACACATTTATCTCATGTTTATATACATATAGTTTATTTCTATATATATATTTTTTATATATTTTCATTTGATAATTATATCTATGCTTTTTGTACCCTGTTATCATAATACATTTTTTATATTTCATATTTTATAGACTGGATTATGTTCACTGAACTTGTATACACCGATATCCATTTTATTTTTGTTCATTTAAGACTCATCCATATATTGCTACTAGTTTTACTATTAAATTATTATATTATCATTACTATCGTTACTATTGTAATTATTATCATGTCCTCTATATCATTACATTATAATATAATGTATACTATTATTCTTTAATTATGTTCATTGTGATCTATAATGAATCTTTCTTCATTACAGAGATATATATTTTCTTGCCTTTTATTATTGTCATTTTACTCATTAATTTATTTCCTTAATCCTTAGTTGCCTTACAGCCACCTGCTGTTTATTCACCATAATTATTTCACTTTTGTTTATATCAACTTGTGTGTAGGCCCGATGATACCTTTTGTTATTATAATTAAGTCATCATGATTAAGTCTGACCAATCGCCTATTAGATACCGTATTATTGTATTGTATTGTCCCAACTTTGTCATAATGTTAATCAGTCATGCTGAAGAGGACCTGAGGTCAGGTCGAAATATTCATGTAATAAAATAGTGTTCTAAAGTCTACTCCGTTTCCTGTTTTTCTTTCTTCTTTATGTATATATAAGTATATATATATGTATATATATGTATATATACATATGTTCTTTTATATAATATAATTTATATATATATATATATATAT